TGCTGTCTCTATCTTACGTAATTCAATGAACCCTGGTTTATTCTTAATAGCTTCACCAATCAATTCTGCTGATTTGGCTTCTCCCTCGGCTCGAACAATAATCGATTGTTTTTCTTGTCTAGCTCGTTCGACCACAAAAAATGCCCGTTGTGCTTCTTGTTGTGCGATTTGTTTGGCTTCTACTGCATGTGTAAATTCCGGTGAAAATGCTACATGCGTGATTGATACGTCATCAAGAACGATGTTGAACCGGAGTGCTCGACGCGTCAGGTTTTCACGGACCAGACGTGATACCTATGGATTATACACGCACATGAAATCAATCGTGCTTTTATCGTTGATAATTAATTAATTATCATTTTTAAATTATTAGTTCTCATTTTATTATCTATTCATACCCGTTCTCGTTGTGTGATCAATTGAGATGCATTAAATTGTGCAACAACTGATTTAAGTACTTCATTTACAATTGATGGAAGAACTCGTTCATCATAATCCGTTCCAAGTGAACGATAAATCGTGGCTAATGATTCTGTTCTGGGTTTTGATAGGACACGACATGTAATATTCACCATTTGAAGATCTATTATTTTTTTTTTTTTGCTCATCAGTTTCGTATCCACATATCATAACCTAAGTTTTTACCCCGAATTTACCCCGAATTTCAATTACGTACATACCTTTTGTACCCGTCAAAGACGCGATGTTTCGTGGTTTTGCTCTAACATCGTAAATAATAGGTGTTTCAAACCATGGAATCATCAAATGTGTACCTTCACTGTAAATTTCTTTTTGTACTCCAAAAAGTCGCGTATATTTGATAGCTCTATGACCACCATCAACTAATAATTAAAAAAGAAAATCGCGTTGTATAATATCAACAAATTAAATATTTGACATTATACATAAAATTCGATTCTACCATCAGAGTAGAAATTTAATGAATAAGGCTAATTACCGTTAAATAAGCTCGCATTGATTAAAATACCGGCTGCACCTAACGTTAGTAAAGCTCCGGCACCGGTAATTACCCCTTTACCACCGCCCTTTGGCATCATGCTACCAAGTCTATTCATTCCTCGTCCCGCCATTATTTTTTTTTCCAAAGATTTTTTTTTAATCTATCTGATCAAATAATGGATTATCTAAATAATGGATTATTCTGTTATACGTACACGTACGTACGTACGTAGGTAATAGCATTTCAGCTGTTCAAAATTTTCCGGAAATGGCCAGCATTATGCAGGATTATGCTGGTCACAAAGATTATCTTGGTGTACTAACAATGTGAACTTTCCTAAACATTACACTCTACGTTATTCTAATCTATATAATTAGATAATTAATTCTGGCCAAATACCAAATATACCAAATGTCCGGAAAATTTGGATGCTTATTTCCGAAAGGATTAATGAGATATAAAAAAAATCTTAAAGAAATAGTTGATTTCTATTGACGTCAACCCATATGTATGTAATTTATATGTAGAGCGATGTAACCAAACCAAAGCGAAAAAACTTTAATACTGTAACTCAAAATTTTATTAATATGCTTCGCAAAAGTTTTCAGCATCAAATTTTGGATGTAATACATATTAATCAAAAAATAAACTTAATATATATTCAAAGATATATGTTTTAAAATTGCAAGTTTTATATGTATCTTTTTAATTAAATCAAATGATTTTTTTTTACATAAATTTACATATCAATAATTGAAACTTTGTGTATAGACATGTAACTTTTTAACCTAGTTAATTATAAATATACAACACTCGTCATTGCGTAGTGACCACGCCATCAACCTCGTGTGAATTAATATATTTATTAGTATCATCAGAAAAAACAGCTAAACGAATAAAGAACAAGGTTGGTATAAATTCTGAAAAGTAAAAAATGACATGAAATGAATTAAAAAATATTTACTAATGGTGCCCTTAGGAATGCTATAAAAGAGGTTTTTTCCTGTAATTGAGGTTCTGCCAGTGATTTCACCACCTTTGAAATACAAAAATATGCGGGTATTAAATCCATTCTGAAATTTCGATTCTTTACACATAAATATTATTACCTAAAGCTTTAATCTTTTGTTCCACCTCGGTAATAACTTCGTCAGGTGTGTCTCTAGCAAACGTCATAATTTTCTTTTCCTTATCAGCTGTCATTTCATATATAGAAAAAAAAATGCAGGATTTGATACAGATGTAAAATTAATAAATGAATTTAAAGATAACGATAAAACCAACCCATTGTGTAGAGCTTGTTATGAAAGTAAGAGATTATTAGATTTTCTGTTTTTTTTAAGAAAGTCTTGATCCGCTTATAAAGGCGTTTTGTAGGATAAATGTCATTGCGCATAATACCATAATGCAATAATATCGATATGTATTAATTGTCCATTGACGCCATTTTATTCACGATCGACAAGATAATCAAATTTTAATCGTATACGTAACATATATCCCTTATAAAAACCCTAACAAGAATGTGAATAACACGGGATCTATGATGATTTTCAGGAATAATAAGATCATTATACTGTTATACACTTATACACTCGGAGGTACGTATCACCAAACTAGCCTAGTTACCTAAAAAGTTATCTCGACCCCTAAATCCATATAAAACTTCCTAATAAATCTTTCAAAAGGCGTTCACTCAATAAAGACAAATTTGATGTCTCTTTTTTAATATAGTAAGTATCTTCAAAATTATTAGTTTTTTATCTGCAAATTTATACATATCCGTTTATCATGTGAGAAATTGTTTCTATAAACTACCTGTATTAAAAATGTTAATGAATTGGCAAGTGATAATAGTCATAGGACATGTTCCTCTTAAATTGCTTACTTATATTAATATCTCACCATCCACTTGACCGTTTTGGATGTTTTCACCTTCTTTAGATTCATAGAGAGTCCCTCTACATTTTTTTCTAAATTACAAACCCTTTTAGCATAGTACCAACACTTTGAATTTTCGATTTTTCTATTTTGTTAAATTTTTATTTTACTTTATTTTTTTTTTCCAAAGTTTATTTTCTTTTCCTTTTTTAAGACCTTATATATGACTTGATATTATTATTTTTTCTTTCATCATGGTATTCTTCTTTAGAAACAATATATCAAAAGGTTATTACTTTTGGAAAAAAAGATAACAAAAGAGACTTTTAAAATAAACAAAAAGTTTAACAGCAAAGACAACAATCTTTACAACAATGACAGGAGATAATAAATATTATTCTTATTTTTGTGACTGAAGTTTAAGACTCTGTCTATCAATAATCTTTCCTAAAACTAGGAACCTCTATCATTCAACTTTTTATAGCTCTTTTTAACTTTATTTAAAGGCAAATTAGTTTTATTTTCTTGAATATTAACTTACTATTTGGATTTTATTTTTTAGATAACTGGTTTGGATTTATTTCAACTAAACTAAAACACTAAGAACACTTTATCTTATATTTGTAT